TTTACACGGTGATAAGCTTGCAGTAATTATTCAGGGACCCCGGATCTTTCTGTTCAGCTAATGAAACCAAAGCGATTCGAGGCGTCGCATCTTTTATCAGATCGCTCAGAGCCTCCTCGTCGCTTCAGTCTCACTGACTAGAGATTTATCCCTGGAGATATACTCTAGTTACCTTTTGTATTTGTCTTGGGAGCAGCTCTGCAGGGTGGATACACTGCATTAAAGCATTTCCAACTATTTGATATTTCACGGTTCGTGCAGCTCGACAATAGTGACACGTATTATAAAGTGCAGCCGCAAAGAGGAAATGCACGTAATGGAAACTTCTCTGAGTACCTTGTTTGACCAGTCATGCTGCCACTATTTGTCTTTTTGTCTCCGGCTTTGACTCGCTGTCCTCTCTACTGTTAGAGGAAGTGTGCACAGCGGAGACGGATTCAGCTTTATTTACTGTAACGCCGCGGCTCTGATTAAAGCGAGCTGAGCTGTCAGTCACACTGACTCTGTTTGTCAGAAGCCATTTCAGTGCTTGATCAACTGAACCCTGCAGAGGCCGCGTTTGCATAAGGTGTGCCGTCAGTGGAACTTGAACCTCCGGATCAAACAGAGGCTGCTGCTCCCAAACATATCTATAAATATAAACGTACAATCAGAAATGTACTCTCCCAAACAAATCCATATCATATCTGCGTAAGGAAAATGCTATAAAGTAAAGTTATGCCTTGTCTGGCTTTGCTTTGCCATCACCGTTCTGCTGAGTCAAACCAGTCTGACCAGTGTTTGTTTTGAACTGACAGCAAAGCAAACAGCAAACATGACCTATCTTTACTGTGTCTAGTTATCAGTGGAAAAGTGGAAAAAATGAAGTAATGGAAGGCTATCAATAATCAGTCCTTTCACCTTGTAATTGTAGCTGTGGCTCAGAGGTATATCTGCGCATTCTCTGCTTATCCAGCTTATATTAAATCTACAATCAGGTACAGAAAAAATACAAATAATATAAAGTCTGATTTTCGTAGACTCTAAATCTGTAACAATTGTTAAAATGAATGTTAATGTTCATTTTTTTATACAAGCAAAAATAAATAAATAAACATTGAGCATCCAGAATTGTATTTCTAGCTGCAAGGCTGTCCGTCTGCTCAGGGCCCCTGATGTCCTCACTGTTTCCCCCAATTCTTTCCTTTTTATTGCACAATTTTATATATTAAATTTGCAACACAAGCAGAAAATAAGCTCCAATAGATAAAAGCCTCAACAAAATGGGAGAGAGTGGGTCACAATAGGTGATTCATAAAAAGAGTTACTGCAAACTATTAGTTGGAAGACTCTAAAGAGTCCGGGGCCAGTGAGGTTCTGGGGCCTGAAGCAGCTACAGCACAACAGGTCGTGTTTTATCTTCTATAGATCCACCGTTCCTAATCATTCCTTTTAAAAGTTTTCTGGAAAGAACAAAGAAAGTTCTGCTTTAACACATTTTCAAGTTAAAGTGCCCCGCTGTGCTGCTACTGAAAAGGACTCACAATTCATTTTGAATTGATTCGCTGAGAATGCCTCGAGTGAACTCTCTTTCTTATTTCCCTGCAAATGGTTGCGAATTCTTTCCAGGAAATGTACAAAGTCATTAATATGAAATTGCAGACCAGAAAAGCAAAGTATAAGCTCAGTGAGAAAGAACAGAGTATAAAGGGCCTTGTGCCTCAGTATTTCTAACATTGTGATTTACAGCCTATTTAAACATGTTTGACAGAACAGGTCCAGACATAATGCCCATCTAGGTTTGACTGAGAAGCCTGGAAAATATAACTTGCAGTAGTATCATCCCTCTTTCTCTGAATACTGTAAAGAAGGCTCCAGAAAGAGGCACAATAAAGCGGCCAGATGCGCATTTTAACATGGAGGTACTCATCATGACATCAGGTCGTGTCATTTTTGCCCATTTTGCTCTCCACGTCAGGGATGTCCGATGAGGTATCGTAGCCTTCGTTGGAGTAGGCGGTGGATCTGCCCCACGTCACCCTGCTGGCTTTGTGTGGAGAGGATCCCCCATGGCTGCTCTCCTCATCCTCCACGCACTTCATGCTTTCCTCCCCTCCCTTCAGCTTCATGGTTAACCTCTCGGATAGTTTCCTGGCCAGCTGCACGATGCTGTTCCTCTTCTTACAGCCGTCATCCACCGACACCTGGACGTTGCCCACGTACCACATGAGCCAGCAGGCCAGGCTGATGAAAATGATCAGGGAGCCGGTGTAGATCAAGAAGTCGCCATAAAAGAGTCCGTTGATGCGCAAGTTGGCGAAGATCCCGATTAAAAGCAGGATCACGCCGAGCACGTCAAACACGACGGCGATGAGAAACATAAGAAAGCAGTTTCCGATGCACTTGATCGCATCCATCCTAGACAGATCACAGCCGCTTCAAGCTTGTATAACGGCAAGCTGCTTCATCCTTTATACCTGAGCCGAGGTTGCGCACCTGTGGAGAGAGACGCCCCGCCTTAAAAGTAGAAATAAACAATGTGTTCACGCAGGTGCATTCCGTGTACACACAAAACAAACACACACGTATGCACACTTCCTTTTTGCTCGTTTTTCACACTGAAAAGTCAAACATCCTGAATTCTCCAGTTCACAACAACAACAGTCATTTCAGGGAACTTTTCACTGTAGGCGCGCTGTGAAATATTAGAAAGACCCCTTATGAGGAAGCGCTCAGCCAGGTGGAGCAGACATCTGCCACGTGGTGAGGGGACAGAGGAAGCAGATACAGCAGGCAGGTTTCGTTTTTGATATTTATTGATATTTAATAAAGGATTCAAAATTGTAGTTAGAGTCCAGAATCTCGCAGGCTGGTCTGGGCAATGCAAATAATGCAGGACTCACAAGACTCCTTAGCATAATATTTGGCTGTCAAACTATACAGATGTATGCATCGTGTATGTTGTGAATATCAGGAAGAAGCAGGTGTATTTATTTGTTGTGCTGATGTTGGATTAGAACTTCTTCGGGTGTTTTTTTCATTCAAGTTAAAGTTAAGTAGTGTTGTGATCAGAACTTGAGTAGTGGAACTTGTGGCGCCCCAAACACTGCAGTTACATGAACACTGACAGACGTGGTCGTAACTGAGTAACGACAGCTAAATAAATAAAAACCTGAAACCGCTTCTTCACAAAAATCAAAATGTAAAAGCATCATAACTGAAATAATGATTAAAACACTGTCACCTTTGATTTTCAGCTAAACTATTACATTTGATTTGAGTCTTTGCACTTAACTTGCAGGAGTCTTCTGCATTATATTTAAAAAATAAAGGATGAACAACTCCTCAACACAAAGGTCAAACGCATTAATAATAAAATATAATCAAAAAATTTAACAAGCTTCAAAGACTAAAGTTCAAGTTATAACGGCACTAATTGAAAAGACTTTGCATATACAGTGCTTCTGACATTATGAATGCATCCTACTGGCCTGTGAATAATGATTATTTTCAGCATGAATTAATCCGTTTGTTTCTATAAAAGGGTGAAATATTCAAAAAGCTATTTTGTTGTCTAAAACCAAAAGGTTTGTATTGTTATATCCAAGGCAAATGTGAAGACCATGAACTTTGGATTAAAAAATTATTGTAATAATCTTTTTATTGCAAATAAAACTCTGATTACATCAGAGGATCATTTCTAAATGTCTATAAATCTTAAATATAATAAATATATCTCAATATAAACCTGTAGCAACACACCAATAACCACTTCACTGCTTCACTGTTATTTTATACATTTAGACTTGATTTATGTTGATGACTGAAGGTGCAGTAATCACTACTGCAGTAACTTCAACTTGTGTAAATCAGTATTTCTTTAGTTCAACATTTATTTTTAGATGTCATATGTTGTATATGTTCCTGGTCTTGTGTGTTACCTGGCAACCTGTATGACAAAATGTATAAATAATTGCTCAAAGATTAATTCACAAGCAGACTGACACATGAAAACATTGGATCAATAATTACAGATATTGCATTGTTTCAAATTCAACACACAGAGTAGAAGTATCGGTATTGAAATAGAAATAATCCTGATTAAATAAAGCAAAGATTGCAAACTTAAATGTCTTTGCTAATTAAATATTCAGAGTTTCTCTAACATTTTCATCTTCTGATTATTTGACATCTGCTGTAGTCGTTATATTAAATAAAAATATTTAAGCTGAGCAGGCATTAGAATTTAATGTAATGATACATATAAATTAAATACTTTAATTCTGAACAAATTTGAGTGAGTTACCAGATATTTGCACACGTGTCTCTATCTAATATTTCCTCTTCCATTACCTCTGGCTTTGCTCTCGTTAGAAACCTGCCTCATGGCTGCAAAACACTTTATTGTGTTCGCTCAGCTTGTGTCTGACTCTCTGTGGTGAACAATGCTGCGCTGGAAGGGTTCACACAGGTCTTTGGAGCTTTTTCCTCTGAAGCTGCCTGCCGTCATCACAAATGAGAGCTCAGTCGGTGAACCAACACAGTAAACCAAACAAAGGAGTTAAAGAGGCTAAAATGCTTCTGGGAGCTGAGGGGAACCGTGGAGTTTGGTGATAATCGTTGTTCATTCATTACAAAGAGTGATTCCTTTCTGTAGCAGTCATACGATTCTTTGCAAATATACAAATATTGATTATCGTTACTTTAAATATGATCTGCACTGCTAGCCCAAAGAGTGCATTTTCAGTGGATAGAAGGAATTAATATTTAATGCACATTACAGTGCAATCTGGCTGTGAAGGGGTTACTTTAAATTGGCTGCTACCTAATATTGAAATCTTATGTAAATGTGCTTTCAGGTCACACCAGTCAAATCATCACTCTTTACATAATTCAAGGATGAATACATTTAGATTCAAAGCATCCTTCCTTGTGGTTCTTTCAACAAACACTCACAGCCACACGCAGCTGGACACAGTAAAACACAAAGTGACAATAAGAAGATGTCGTGACTTCGACTGACACGGTCAGTCTTTGCATAATTTTTATTTTATTCTTTGCAAATATTCATAAGGACACTTTACTGCCTTGTATCTTCTTGCTAAATTGTTTGTGCAGGTGTAAATAATTGCATTTTCTGCAGCGCATTCCTGTCCATGCGCTCTCATCCTATTTTCAACAGCCGCTGTTATTAATGAAATTACATCATGCACACTAGAAACTTCAATAGTGTCGTCAATCCAGAGAGATAAACATAATTGTTGTCAAACAGTCTTCTATTAATCATTTTCCACAGAGCTGAAAATATTAACCTCAGTTCAGAGTGTTCTCCACGTTTCTCCTGAAATTACATCCAAACATAGTTGTGCTGAAAAACATCACAGCCCTCACAGGTTAAACACCGGAGGCCTGTAATAACTCAGGGGCTTCTTCATTTTCGACCGCTTCCTGTTCTCTTTGGTAATAGGAATCAGGACCACGCCCACCACAAAAACCATCAATCCAATGGACAGCAGGGCTGGTCCCAGGATGTTGGTGACTTTCCGGCAGTGGCCAGCGAAGTAAAGGCCGCTGATGATGATGCCACATGCCAGGAAGCTGCCCCCGGTAGACATGAGGTGGATGGGGAACCAAAAGACTTCAGACTTCTTGGGGGAATTCTCCGTAGTCCAAACTGACTCGGTGCGGGACAGGCTGAACACGGTGCTCTCCGTGCGGCTCGGGGGCGTGAGCTGGTCCCTGGACTGGGACAGCGTGCACTCCCCCAGGGGGATGTTCTCTGGGCTCCCTGGCATGACTTCCTGGCTGACTGTATGGAAGCAATGTGGAATAAAAATCAATCTGGAAGGGAGGATGTGTCTTTTTCCTATACACGAACGTTACTAAGGATATTGTAGAACATTTACAAGATACTGCAATAAGCAAAACACTCTGTGTGTCACAACAAATCCACAAAAGTACAATGAGGACGTTTATGCTGCAATCAGAAATTCTAAAGAAAATACAAACAGCTTCTTTGCCCACTGGAAACGAGTCCACACCCAGGAAAGGAGCAAACAAGTCAACAAACACCTACCTTCGAATTCTGGATCAAGTCTCTTAGTCTGTATTTTTGAAGAACTGACAATAAGTTACAGTGAAAAATCACAAATCCTGAAGGAGAAGCCGACAAAATCTCTGCCCACCGTCTGACCAGAGAACCCAGTAAAATACAGCCATACAGATTTAGCAAACATCTACCCACCCTCCTACATTATCTCCACCTACTCAAGAGAACCCTGTGACCACCATCCCCTTACCATCTTCTACCATCGCAGGCGGTTTGTCCTGATATTACATGCAGAGCGAGGTGCTTGGCTTTCTTTCCCCAGAGGATATCCATAGACTCCCCCCAAACCACTCAGACTCACGGCTCCATTGGGCTCTAAAACGATTTCACAAAAACTTCAATAAACAGCTCCAGTACAGCCTTTTTTTTTGTTTTTTCAGAAAAAAAAGCCTCAAATTTTCCAGGACAGGACAATGAGAGGAAAATATCTGCCTTACTAGCCTGAACTCTTTCCATACAAAGAAGAGTAGGGGCAGGAAATGGCTCTCTGTTATAGGCAGATTGATGCAGCAAGCTTTCCAATACGGACGGTTATGTTGGTACAGTATTGATCTCTAAGTACCCTGGAGCAATTATCTGCAAGTTGTTCACTGGTCATGAGATCTGTGTAGTAAAATTAACCCTGTGAAAGTAAAGGAAATCGTTTAGAAATTTGGTCAAATTTGGGATTTTCCTTTGTCGTCTTCTTATTGAGCTTCTGAGATTTCGCACCTCGGGTGTGTAGGGGACCACAGCGTCAGAGGGGTGTCGCTGCAATCTGATGCTGCTGCTTCCATTAAACCGGCCTGATATTACATTTGTGTCTGCTTCGCTTCGTGCGCTCTTTTGGAAAGACAAGTGCCACTATGTGGCCATTGATCTGAACACGAGCTCACACATTAACTCAATTACGCTCGATGGAGAGCTCCTCAGCTATGAAGACGGCTCTTCGGGGCTGTTTCTACTTAGCAAAGGCTGCACCTACTCCCTGGTTTCATTAGATTACTGCTGTCCTCTCTTTAAAATGCACCATCATGTGGCGCTGATACATGAAGCTTGTCTATACTTGCAATGAGCAGCATGATCCAGCAGAGGGCAGCGCTGCCATGTGGCTTAGAATTGGACTTCGGGCTTGCTGTGTCATTAACTTTTAGTGAAATTTTAAACAGTACGAGCTGTTAATTGATCAGCTAATTCAATGTTTTACTAATTAACTTAGTTTGTTCTTTTACTTTGCACTGACATATGAGGAATTAATTGCCCGTTCCATGTAGTGCTTGTGATCATGACGTGCCTAATTCTCTTAAACGGCCCATTTAGATGGGCTTTATCTCATTCATTTGATCAGTCATCTGAGGGCATTTCCACCTGCAGGCCTGCAGACTAGATGTGATGTGAGATTGAGTTAATATATCATTTTAGACAAAAGTTAAAGAACCGTGTCTCATTTGAACGTCTTTTTGAACACAAAGTTTTGTGCACGAGCCAAAAGGTTGGAGGATGTAAAAGGGTCAAAAGATTACCTGATAAAGCTACAAGGATGTGCAGCCCTGATGTGTTTGGATGACTGCACTAATATGCTACAGTATAATATTGTTGTCTGTTTCACAGTTCCTAACTTAGTGGTCTGCCACCCTGAGAATTCAACATGCTGACACTAATTAACCTGTAAACTGATCATAACCACGACGTGGTGGCTCTTTTCCTTCTTGCTGTAATGAGCTAGCATTGGGAGATGAACACAGAAACATACAAATGATTTAGAGCTGGTCTTGTAATGCGTTTGATACTAAGCACTGCAGAATAAAGTTTTAGTGTGGACGTCTGATCCCTACGTTTGAGAAATGTCCGAGCTAAATAGCTGTCCTGGACACCAATCGTTTTGCTTGCTTTTCTAGCATCGTGTTGCTACAGGCTAACTGTAACGATCCAGAGTAGCGTTCCTGGGACCTTCAGTTTATAGATAAATAAATCTGATGGGTAGTTTGATACATAATAATGTTAATCAAGTTAATTTTTCTTGATCATTGGTTGTTTTCTGTGATTTCATGTGCTTGAGTTGCCGGCGGCATGAGGAAGCCTGTCTCACCCGTCTGTGTGACACTCAGGTTAATGTTGGCTATTCCTGGGTGGAACAAACATTAAGAGGAGCTGCGGTTCTGTTCCCTTCAGCTTCATAGGATCCACATGCTCGTGCCCAAAGGAAGAAGGTGGCGCACAGTTACACACAGAAACTGTATCCTCATTACTCATTCGGAGCTGTGAGTTTTTGCTGACAGAAAGAGAGGAATAAGAAGCTGATAATACAATCTGCTTTGTGCAACTGAGTCATCTCAACTGAGTCAGTGTTTTAGGGTTAATCATTTGTTAGACAGCAGCAGGAGTCAGAGGTCCTAAATTTTAATCAAGCTTTAATATTTATGAATTTTTTTCTCCTTCTCCTTCAATCCAAAGCCAGGAATGGTATGTTGGTGTGCTGAGCCATGACCTTTAGAAGTGAAGCAGCGTGGGTCAGCTCATTGTACAAAGTAACGCCGGTGCTCACAATAAAAACTGAAATTCTTTCTCTACTGGGCCTCCACAGTAGATCCACCATGTTCCAGTACGTGACATTACATTACTCCTGGTTTATGCTCTTTACATCTGCAGTTCCCTTTAAATGAACCACCCACTCCATGACATGTTGGTCAGCCACAGGAGCTCGTTCAGTGAGAGACTGAGATTACCGAAAAGCACCACTGAACGACACAGGAAATCATTCCTGCCTGTGGCCATCTCCCTGTACAACGCATCCACTTAACACACTGTTTGCTGCTACAACTACACATGTTTCTTTTCCAAATATTTATTTATAAGTGACTTATGTATGTATGTATGTATGTATGTATGTATGTATGTATGTATGTATGTATGTATGTATGTATGTATATATATATATGTATATATTGTACTATTCTTAGTTAGCGTATTGTCTCTCTTGTCTTAATGTTGGTTTAAAATGGAGCACTGTAACAAAAAATAATTTCCCCCAGGGATCAATAAAGTATTCTGATTCTGATTCTGATGAAAGTAAAAAATAATAATAATAGATTAAATAATTAAATTACCTACAGAGCCCTTCACAGACAGATTATTTATCTCAACTGCTGTATAAACTCTCTGCTGCTTGCAGTCTTCATTCGCAGGTTTTAAATTTATTAGCTCTTCCTCGTACAAGATTAAAGACCAGGGCTGACAGCCTTTCAGTCTGCGGCACCAAAACTCTGGAACATACGCCACTTCATCTACGTTTAGCTGACTCTGTGGAGTCCTTCAAAAAGTAGTTGAAAACTTTCCTGTTTAAGCAGGACTTCTGCGGAGATTATTATATATATTTATATCACTGTTTCTATTATGATTTTATTCTATTTTAACATGTTTTCGCTGCGTTTTACTGTGAATCGATTTCATCCCTGTGAGAAACACTATAGAAATAAACTTTCTAAATCCTGGTTTTGTGCAAATACATCCGTTTTTTCCCCCCATTGTTGATATTTCACGCTGAAATGATATTATGTGACAGAAAAGCAATGACTGTTGTATGATGGAGTGAAGGAATTGATTTAAATAAGAGTAGCTGTGCAAGATTGTGTAAGACAGGGTGACTCACCGCATTTATAGCATCTTTGAAATGATTTATTATGATTCATTAAGTGATCTGGACAAATTCCAATACACATTAGACCTTTAGGAATATACGATTGGCAGATACTTAAAGAAATGCTTGGTTTGGGTCAGTTAAAGGAAGGGTAATTGGAAATCAGTACAAAGATGACCTTTATCTGTTGGTGAAATATTTCGGTCCTGATGGGAGTGGATTCTTTCGGGATATGGCCTTCATACTCAGACTGGACAAATACAGTAGGTGACACTCTCCACCGACTTCATCAAAACTCCAAATTAGGGAATATCCCAAAAGATACACCCATCCCATAAAGTTCCACAGAATCAAAAATCTTAAGGCACAATAAAGGTCTTCTTGTGGCCACCAGAGATGGACAGTAACGCATTAAAACGAATGTGTTACTTGTTACTAGAAAAAAGTAACAATTACAGTAAGGGATTACTATTGCAAAAAAAGTAATTAGATTACTGTTACTTTCCTGTAAGCACGCTGCGTTACTGCGTTATTGGACTGTGATTTTGTTTGTGAGAGCGTCTCATGGCGATGATGTACAAGCACGCGGCGTCCGTGGCAGCGACAGACGTGTGCAGATCAACAATGAATAATATGGAGTGATGGAGAGAGTACGACCATGTAGCGTTTAAAGCTCAGACATACTTAAATTACTTTAATGTTTTTGTCACTTTTTACAGAATCAAACTTAGTGTCAGCTGTTCACTCTGCGTTGGAAGAAAACGTCTTTCTACAGCAAAAAAAATAAACTTCAAATCTGAGCACCGAGCGAGCTGCCACGGGAATGTGACATTCACAGGGAAACCCCCGGATCCTCCCACTGACATGACCGCTGTGGGCAAACCTCCACCTGCCCCACTCCTGCTGAACAGGTGACAATAGATTTAAGCGCGACAGGACTCAGAGCTGCTGAATCTTTGATTTTATTTATTTTCTGCTGTGTTTCACTTGCATCTATTTGAAAGAGTGAGTGTAAACACATAACATTATTTTATTTTATATACTGGAATATGTCAGAAATAGGTTTAAATGTTAAACACATTTA